ACCGTTCATTGCAGAGAGTGCTTCTATTTTATACCATCTCTACTCCTGTCAGTGAGGTGCCCTGGTTTCTTTTCAAGGGCTACATGAGGGCAAACCACCTTTTCCACAAGCAACAAGTGTCCCCTTACTAACTGTAACAGGACAAGAGAAGGCTCACAGCTGGTCTCAGGTAGACACCACTATTCGGTTTCATGACAGTCTTGAAGAAACCTAGAGCTATTGAGCTTCTGAGTTTCACCACAGTTTGCTGTCCACGCACAAACTCTCCTTACCATGCCCTTTCCTAAGTGTCCTGTGCAAATGCAGAGGGAACTGGCCTTCCCCGGGCCTTTGGAGGCACCCAGAGGATCTGCTTCTACTCTCCCTCCTCCTCCATCATCATCACCATCATTCTTATGAGTAGTTACCATGAACTTGTTTTTCAGGTGATGAGGAGTTGGTCTCAAGGTCACACAATGAGGAACAAAGTCTGTCTAAAACATAAATCTGTTTAACTCCAGAGAATGTGTTCTTAACCACAAAGCTATACTCTTGCCTTCTAGGATTTACAATGGGGCACAGGATCATGCAACAGTGGACCAGGTGTGTGGATCTAAGACAAGCCTGTGTTCACATAAAGTCATAGGGTCAAGACTTAGAGGTTCTCAATCTGGGGTCCACAGACTCCTGAGTGTCTAAAAATAGATTTTGGAGGGTTTGTAATCCCCTAAAACAGGAATCAGTAAATGTTTTGTTAAAGCACCAGATAGTCAACTATTTTAGCCTTTGCCGCATTATGTCTGACACAAGCACTCATCTCTACTGGTTGTGCAGAAAAAGCCACAGACAACACGCAAGCAAATGGGTAAGGCTGTGATCCAATAAAACTTTATTTACAAAAACAGGCTTTAAAATGGTATGCAAATTATATGTCCATATATGCATAGTTATTTTTACTGTTGTTCTTAGAAGATCCATAGTTTTCCATAGCTTCTCAAGTGAGTTCAAAATTCAAGATGGCTAAGAACTGGTCAAAATGGTCTCCAAGCCCGGCTGGTGTGGCTCACTGGTTGAGCATCAAGAGGTCACCAGTTTGATTCTTGGTCAGAGCACATGCCCAGGTTGTGGGCCTGATCCCCAGTTGGGGACATGCAGGAGGCGGCCAATCAATGTTCTCTCTCATGGATGTTTCTATCTCTCTCTCCCTCTTCCTCCTTGTCTCTCTAAAATCAAGAAAGAAAAAAAAAATTTTTAAAAAAGGTCTCCAAGGCCTCTAAACTTCCATCTCCAGGATTCTGTGATTCTACATGCCTTTTAAATGACCACTCTCCTCGACAGTCTGTCTCTTTCGAGGGTTCACTGGATGGATTCTGCTCTGAACTCTTACATGGACTATCACTGATGTCTGTTGCGAAGGAAACAGGACACATTGCTGCTCCAATCTTCCCTGACTTACCTGACCAGATGACACTGGCCGGAACAACAGTACATACACCTTGATCCTGCCTTCCACTCCGTGTGACTTGTCTTCCCCTAAGTAGAGTCTTTAGGTGGGGACTGACTGTATTCCACTGTGTCCACCACAGAGCCCGGTTCCACGCTTCGCATGTGTGTTTTTAGGTTATTAGCACTGAGATCCCTGAAAGCTACAGCCAGTTTTAAATTCTTGCATCACTTCTGAAAATCAAAATAATGATTATCCGGTCCACTCGAATCAAAAGCAGAATCAACTGTTTTAAATTTCAGAGAAAAAAAGACCTATTAACATAAGACAGAACAAATGCTGTGAATCATAACGTGAGCGCATTTAAATTCCAGGTTTCTGAGAAGGGAGAACCGGGCATGGGGGAGAAGCAGGGGGAACATGAACGAGGAGAATGAAGAAACAGCAGTACTGTACCGAAGGAAACGATGCATGTAGTCTGTGGCTAACCAACCACGGCGAGGTGGATACTCAGTGTCATTACAAAGCAGCTGTTTCTCACAGCAAGAGCCCCCAAAGAAGGAAAGAAACCAGCAAATAAAAATAACAGGACTATAAACCACATAGCCGGTACTCAGGGAGACTCTGCTTCACAGTAGACTGCTGTATCCGTCACACCAGCATCAGTGTGAGCTCTCTGACCTGAACTGGCAATAACAGGACCGTCAGTGCCGACTGTGTCTCCAGCTACGATGTCAGTTTGGCTTTAATGATCAAGGTCATTGGCAGCAGCACGGTGCCTTATACATAGAACTGGGTCGTGGGGGTCTGGGTCTTGTCCTGGCCCCATGATGTGACCTTGCTTGGCCAATCTCTGTACCTCAGTTTCCTCATTTGTCAACTGTAAAGAAGACTTCTTTGCTCATTTTACAAGGGTGTTAGGAGGATGGAAAGTGGATATATACTCACTGTACACATTCTTGGGGGAGTATCAAATACCAGATAAATGGAAATGGACCTTGTTCTTCTTACTTAAGGTAATGGGTAGGCGGGGGTGGGGATGATGGCATTTTGCACAGAAGGCTTGGTGACTCAATGAAGTGTCCCCCTGCCCCCCGCATGGCCTAGGATTATTACTGCTTTCTTAGTGTTTTTAGACATGCTTCTCCCCTTCAGAAATGCCAAACGTGAAAAATTCTATTCCACCGCTGTAATTTGTCACCCTTGCTGCCCGAGCAAGACGTGCATAGAGAGTTTAGTAATTAAGCTTTTCAACACTGCATCATAAAGTTTTACTCCAGCGAAGGCTATATTTATCAGCTAACAAGTATTAAATCACCCCAGCGCTCAAGCCGTTTCTCACTTGAATATGCTCCTTGCAAAACAGAGCAGCTCTCCGTGGCTGGCTTGATTCATAAACATTCTTGTTTGGAAACATCGTGGTGCAGTGTGGGCCCGAGGGGCTGACTCACATGCACCTTGGCAACGGCTGCAAACGGTGCTGACCCCTGCTTCGCAGGGGAGCCGGAGACCTTCGCCTGGGTCTCAGGGCCGCCCGGCCATCTGAGTGTCGCGCTCCTCTGGGATGGCTTCCAGCACAGGGTAGCCCCATATCCATTTCATTTCCACAGGGAAAGGGGTAAATGAAAACGAAGAACACAGCATTTGATACATTTTTATTTCCTTATCTGAGCTTCGGGTAATTGGCCTGTTCCTATCAGAGAAGGATCGAAATGTAAAATGAGTCTTCAAAATGATTAAAATAGCAAAGTAACAATGATCTACATAGAAAGCAGGGTTGATATTTCCCCCCATATTGCCCTCATCTTCTCAAAGTAGATACAGAATTATGAGGGAAACACAGAATGAATAGATATTGAAAATCATCAGTAATGGCTTAGAACAATTCTGTCTTTATGGATCCCACCCCACCTTTTTAAATTGTTTTATTTTTCCTCTCTTCTTTGGAGGATATACATTTATGAAACAAGTATAATATTGTTCTTAAAATGTCAGGATGCTCTCAGTCAAATGACTCCGGAATTATTTTAAAAACAAAATAGTTAATACATTTGAATGACTTTTCTACCATATTTTAAGGTGAAAATCAAAAATAAAGACAATGTTAATCAAGTATGGGTCCAAATGATGAAAAAGTGTCAATGTTTTTAATCATACTATAGCAGAGATCACATTAATTTCCCTTTTTCTTTCTCTGCTTTCTAAAATAAGTGACATTAACTACAGGTAGGCGTTTCTGTTTCTCATCGATTGCTAAAAGGACACATACAATAACATTCTCTGTGACTATGTAATACCATTCCATTGGATCACAGACCCACTTTGTAGCTACATGACCAAGCCATGCCAGTGCCTGTGTGTGTGTATATATGATTAGGGGGCATGCAAGCGTGAAACTGCAGGTTACTGCCAAGAGAAGAAAGTCTTTTGTTGAACTTTTCTTAGTTTGAGAGGCTACAGCAGTGTCCTTCCATTCAAAATCATGAAATAGAACTCACCCTTTTGCTTTTCAAATGAGCAACGGGTAGCTTGTTTGGCGGGCTGAGGATCAATTTCTCTCCAGCCAGCAAGTCACCGGGTTGTCCCTGAAGCATGTGGCAACCACTAAGTTGGCAAATATTGAACTATTTTAAGTGCATCTATTTTCTGGTTCAGTGAGTTTTTTTGGTTGCTTTAAATTCATTCAACTTGACACATCTAAATGCCAAGCCCATACTGGATCACACGTGACAGAAACAGCAGCAGCCGTAAGAGATAACAAAAGGTAAAGATCAATATATTTTCTCTCACTTTTTATTTAATTTTTATATCATGAGATTTTTTTTAAGGTGAAAAAGTACTCTGACGGGGAAAGTCAAGTTGAATCTGGTTATTTCCTGAAACTTGGAAGAAGTTACTTCATGCGATCCTAGAGATGAGGGCATATGTGACCTACAGTTCAGGATCATTTACTAACTTGGGAGAGAAGTGAGAAATGAAATTACACTCTGTTATTCACAGTTTGGAGGAAACTTGTCATTCAGCAGTTTGCAAAAATATTGGATCAAGGGCGTACTTGAAGATTAAAAACAAACCTTTGATAATGATTACTCTTTATTTGAAAGCAACATTTTCAAAAGAATAACAAAGGTTTGGGAACATGAACTGTTACTTTGATTTGGCATAATTTTTGGGAGGGTCATTTGTTATTCTTAAGCTCTACTTTTCCTCCATCAAGGAGTAGTCATGGCAACTCAGAAAGGTGGCAAAGGGTCCAAGGAATTTTTATTCTAGCATGGGTTGTAACTATCAAAAATATAAAATCGATTTTATACTCCATATAAAAAACTGACAAGTGAAGAACAATTTTCTGGTAATTTCTCCCAACAAAATAGAAAACAAAACAATCAATAACAGGAAATTGTATAAACAAAAACCCAAAGTACATGTGGAGGATAAGACTACATGTACTAAAGAGACTTATTGGGGTGATCACAAGTTATATAAATGTTCAATCACTATGTTCTACACCTGAAACTAATATAATATTGTAGGTCAGCTGTAATTGAAAAATTAAAAAAAAAAAATGAATATAGGTACTAAATATGATTCTTTAAAGCCTCCAGAACACACAGGGCAGAAGCGATGCAGCCATCGAAATTCGAATGAGTGAATCCATCCCCTCCACACACAAGGAGTGGTTTCAGATGAAGAGTCATTTGGCCAGGAGAGTTGGCAGCAGCATTTGTAACCTGAAAAAGCAAAAAAAAAAAAAAGGTCGAGGGTGGATTGCAATTGACATTCTGTGCTCTGTGGTGCTATCACGTCAACATCCAGGTTTCCCGACCTGGAGAAATCAAGGTGTCTCAAAGGAACGACGGAAAACGAAACCAAGACCCCTAAGCTCCCCCCCTTATCCAAGTGTTTACACTGACGTTCTTACATGTTTACATTTTAAATTATTTGATATAATCAGAAGTGTGTTGAACTTCAAAATTAGTAGCTCGTGATATGCTCGATTAGTTGAAGGTACAGTGTTGTTGGTTTTTTTATAAGAAGGAAATGATATTCAGGAAATCATTCACCGGTTATCAAGTCCCTGCTCCATGCCAGACAAGGTGGATAGAAGAGATGTAAGGGCCGGGTCCTTAGGGAGTTTTCAGTTCAGCATGACTGCTGGCACTGAACAGTGACTAGGGACTGAGACAGAGGGAAGGAGTGGGCGCTATGAGAACACACGGGCGGGGCCCAGCCCAGCACACCCAGACAGAGAGTGCTCCGAAGGGAGGAGACTGGTCTTTTCACTTGAGTTCAGATGGATGCAGAAGAGTTTATCGGTCAAGAAAACAGGGAGAGGGCATTCCACAGAGAAGGAGCAACACCAGCACATGCCCCTAGTCTCCAGGACTGTCATCTTGCACAGATGAAACTGCCCTTTGACCAACAATATCTTGCCATTTCCCCCTCCCACCAGCTCCTAGCAGTCACCATTCTACTTACTCTCTGCTTCTGTGAGCTCGACTATTTTAGGTTCCACATATGAGTGAGATCATGCTGTATTTGGTATTTGTCATTTCATAACCGATAATCTTGAAATCAGCAGAAAAGATCTTTGAAGTTGTTAAAATAGACAGCACATAGAATAGGCACTGGAGGGCAGACCTGGCACTCAGAGCCTTTATAATCCTGCTTTAGATGGACTTTTACAAGTCAGATGATTTGATTTGTCAGCGAAGCACTAAGGGAGGAAGAACACCTTCAGGTTCCTATATAAATAAGCAATTTCATAAGGTGACAACTGATAGTCTGGGGCCATTTAATGAAGGGACAAATAACTTTTTGGCTCTTAATAGGCCCCATGGGGGCCCTGGCCAGTTTGGCTCAGTGATAGAGCGCCAACCTGTGGACCAATGAGTCATGTGTTCAATTCCAGTCAAAGGCATGTACTTCGATTGAAGTTCATCCCTGGCCCTGGTCAGGGTCGTGTGGGAGGCAACCAGTCCATGTGTCCCTCTCACGTCTATGTTTCTCTCTATCTGAAGATAAATAGAAAAGATTAATTTGGAAGATGACGGCAGGCAGAACCAGAGGGAGTGTGAGTGTGTGACAGAGTGAGCGAGTGTCCGAGAGAGTGTGAGTGGACATGAAGGTGGACGACCAAACCCCAGCAGTGCAGAGACATGGAGCAGAATGTTCCTGTGCTGTGGACGGAGCAGCCGACTGCCACGTTAAGCGGCCCTTCAGGGCGCTTCTTCCTGCGCCTCGGGGAGGTCCCACTATTTTGGAAGATCCTGGGTCTTCCCTGAGAGGAGGCAGTGGGAACGGCTAGGGCCCAGCAACCTGAGCCCACCAGTGCACCTGGCACCATCGGACCAGTAGACACTGTGTCAACACAGATTGGTGCACAGTGGTAGAGCTCCCAAGGTGCTGGTTGGGGAAGCCGCAGACAGCCTGGAGCCCAGCACCATCCCCCATAGTAGCAGCCCGATCAGAGTCCAGATATACCCCCAGCAACAGAGGCTGGGGAGCAGACATCCATCTATTCTGTTGCCAATGACAAATAGGCAACAGAAGAACAGACCAGCAGCTGAGACCCATCCCCAAAAACTACAGCAAAAGCTGAGCAGGAGTTGAGTCCCATGGGGCAGCAGCACTCCCCAGCCACCAGCATCAGGACCTGGGGATCCACAGAGGCCTGTGCGGTCCAGTAGCCCACAAGAGCAGTGGGAAGCCTGAGCCCAAGAGAGACTGCCCGCCCGTGGGAACTGCAGAGTGCAGGGGCACCAGAGAGGCCTGTGTGACCCAGCAGGGACTGTGCAATCCAGTTACCTGCAGGACCTGCGGGGTGCTGAAGCACCAGAGAGGATAGTGCCATCGAGTTACCCACGGGACCTGCAGGGTGCTGAAACACCAGAGAGGCCTATGCGACCCAGCAGCCCATAACATAGGCATAGAGCTGGGTCCCCAAAGGGACTGTGTGATCCAGTTACCTGAGGGACCTACAGGGTGCGAGCACCAGAAAGGCCTGTGTGACCTAGCTGTGCACAAGATAGGCCTGGAGGATGTGAAAATGAAGGTGGAGTGAATGGAAGGTACACAGAGGATCTCCCAGGACCAAACGGGAATTACAACTAAACTAAAGAAAAATCCTCGGAAAAAGCAACACAAAAGCAGCAGGACAGGACCATATAACCAGGGACACTGGTAGGATCTGCGGAGGTGCGAGAGATTGGTGGATTGGGAGCCCATAGACAGCAGTACTCTTAGCTGTGAGCAGTGCCCTTGGGGAATAAAGACCAAGGCTGCTTCACAGTGCAGAGAGCCAAGACAGAGCACTAAAATAGCCACAGCCACTCACCTGGGGGCTACCGCAGAGGGAGGGCAGACTAGGCTGGAACTCTGTGGGGACATCCGGGATTTGGAGGGCACTCAGAGTTTTTTGTTGTTGTTGTTCAGATAGAGTGGGCGGGAGAGAGAAGAAGAGAGAGAGAGGGAGAAACATCAATGTGAAAGGGACACATCGAGTGGCTGCCACCCGCACGACCCAACCAGGGCTGGGGACAAAGTGCAACCAAGGTACGTGCCCTTAGTGGGAACTAAACCTGGGTCTCTCTGGACCACAGGCCGATGCTCTAACTGCTCAGCCAAACAGGCCAGGGTGGCACTCAGAGTTTTTGCTGAGTTGGGGCCACAAAGGACAGTGGCCAGTGTGCTCCTTCCCCCAGCTGTGGGGAAAAGCAGGAGCTCCCCCACCCCACCCCGGAGATTCAGCCTTTCCCAGGTGAGGCAAAGAAATGCAAATTGAGGCTCATTAACAACCAGCATCTATCCCACCCTCTGGAAATCCTCTTATGCAGAACACCAGGGCAACATTCCAAGGCACTGAGTAACTGAGACTACTAGCCACCAGGAAAAAGCTAGAGGATAACTGAACCTTTCCTGGGCTTGCAAATTTATCCAGGAAAGTAAGACTTGACAGTGGTGTTTAACGGGGGCCACCCAGGGTCATCCAAACCCAGTAGAAGGAGCCACAAACAGCTGAACACCAACACCCACAGGGAAAATTTGGCAGGCTCCAAAACCAACTGAGATAGACAAAATGGTGAAACAAAGAAACAAGGCCCAAATAAGAGAACAAGAGAACTCTGTGGAAGATGAGATCAATGAAATGCAGCTAAGCAAATTATCAGAGGTAGAGTTCAGAGCCATGATCTTGAGGAAGCTCAACAGCATGAGTAAGGACATCAGCAGCATGAGTAAAGATATAGAAACATTGGAAAACCAACCAAGTGGAAATAAAGAATGACAGAGCAGAAATTAAGAACACACTGGGCCCTGGCTGGTTTGGCTCAGTGGTTAGAGCGTCGGCCTGTGGTCCAGAGAGACCCGGGTTCGGTTCCCGCTGAGGGCACGTACCTCGGTTGCAGTTTGTCCTCGGCCCTGGTTGGGTCGTGTGGGTGGCAACCACTCGATGTGTCCCTTTACATCGATGTTTCTCTCTCTCTCTCCCTCTCCCACTCTATCTGAACAAAAAATGGAAAAAAATGTCCTTGGGTGAGGATAAAAAAAAAAAAAAGAACACATTGGAAGGACTAATCAGCAGAATAGAGAAAGCTGAGGACCAGAACAGTGAATTAGAAGACAGGGTAGAAATAATCAACCAATTAGAAAACCAAAAGGAAAAAACAATTAAAAAACAGGAAGACAGCTTAAGAGAACTGTGGGACAATTGGAAACGTAATAACATTCGCATCATAGGAGTCCCCGAAGAGGAAGAAAATGGGCAAGGGTTAGAGAATATATTTGAAGAAATAGTGACAGAAAACTTTCCTAATTTAGTGAAGGAAGAAGGCATTCAAATTTAAGAAGCACAGAGAGCTCCAAGTAAGAAGAACACAAACAGGCCCACATCAAGACACATAGTAATTAAAATGCCAAAAATTAAATCCTAAAGGCAGCAAGAGATAAGCAACAGATTACCTACAAAGGAAACCCCATAAAATCCTCAACTGACTTGTCAATAGAAACAGTACAGGCCAGAAGGGAGTGGCATGAAGTAATCAAGACCATGAAAAACAAGGATCTGAATCCAAGACTACTCTATCCAGCAAGGCTATCATTCAAGATAGAAGGTCAAATAAAGAACTTTCCTGACAAAAAAAGGCTAAGGGAGGTGTAGGGGGGAATTAGTGGGGGGAAAAGGAGAAACATCTGTAACAAAAATTAATTAATTAATTAAAAAAAAAAAGAAACTAAAAATAGCCCTGGCCGGTTTGGCTCAGCGGTTACAGCGTCGGCCTGCGGTCCGGAGAGACCCGGGTTCGGTTCCCGCTAAGGGTATGTACCTCGGTTGCAGTTTGTCCCCGGCCCTGGTTGGTCGTGCGGGTGGCAGCCACTCGATGTGTCCCTTTCACATCGATGTTTATCTCTCTCTCTCTCTTCCTCTCTCTCCCTCCCACTCTATCTGTACAAAAAATGAAAAAATGTCCTCAGGTGAGGATGAAAAAAAAAAAAAAAAAGAAACTAAAAATAAAAGATAAATAGAAAAATATCCTCAGGTTAGGATTTAAAAAAAAGGCCTCAAGGGGCCAGCTTATGAATTTTCCTGTAATCATGAATGTTCATGATGATGGTCTCAATATTCAAGAATCACCTCAGTATGCATAAAGTATTAATTGCTAGCAGTACTTGACTGTTTGCTGATACTGAATGCTTTACAGGCACACCCCATGTAATTCACACAGCAACCCTG